ATGCATTTAAAGCCGGAGCGCGGACCAATCACAGCTGGCGCTCTGCACGCTGCCACTGCTTTATCAAGTTTACCTCAGCGCAGATCGCGCTCCTCCTGTCACTCAAACTGGACTCAGGCTGACCTGCATGGATATTTACACCAACCCAGTGTGGGTAGTTATTTTTCTTGGGAGAACTCCACATCGAGGAAAGAGTTTAAAACGAACCCTGTTAGCTCTGGTTGTGCGGCTCTGTGTGAACCACAGGAATAACTTGTAGTCTTTCTTTCAGAGGAGTTGAGGAGCGGTGAGTGATTTATATTTGTGAACAAAGAATTATGCGGCGTTTCCATCTCAACACGCTGCCCAGCGTGTGGCGCTGTCTGCCCTGTAAAGTTCATGTCTGTGTTCCTGGTTGGTCGGAGCGTTAGCGGCTAACGAACCAGCGCTAACCTCATCATGCAGGTGCAGGTGAGGAGCTTTAGCCTCTCCTCGATGTCACACATTACGCTGGTTTTATATTATTCTTATTTTTCTGGTTACACGATGCACCAACCCACACCAAATGCTTTGTCCACGTAGCCAGAGTTGATGCGTGCGGCCGAGCAGAGATCTGAAACTCTCGTCCCATAAACTCCAGCAACCAAAACAGTTTCTGAGATTCTTATTAAAACTCAACAGACATGAAATGTCAGAGCTGCTAAAGCCACATTAGCAGCATTGAATTAAATCTCCTGTTTGTTGCTCATCTCTGCTCAGTGCAGCAGATTTACCTCATCCTGCAGGGCCGGTCCAAGGCTGATGAGGCCTGGGGCAGAATCTGACTGAGGGGCCCCTGTAGCTGCTACAACATCATAACAGCTTCTGTGTTACGTTTAATCTGGGAGAGGAGGAGGAGTTTAACTGGCCAACATAAAAACAATCAGCTATAATCCAGTTTATTCATTTGTATCTGTGAACAAACAGCTCAAACTCAAAGATTAAACTCAGCATCAGATTGTTGCTATGGTAACAAAACAATTAGCTATGAATATTGTTTTTTGAAGTTTTACAAAGTAAACCTACCAGCTCCTTAAAATCTTACATTTAAATGTTAAACAGTTTAAAATCTTTTAATTTAAGCTGAAAGCATTAAACCAAATTCAGCAGCATTGATCATCTCAATAAATAAATGTTACATTTATGAATCTGTGTTAGAATATCAGCATTTATGGCCCCTGAAGCCCTGGGGGCCTGATGGAGCCGCTGACTTAATTTGGATTAAACAGAAGTGCAAATAACTGATATTCATTTTAATTTTGATTTGATGTTTTTAAGACTAGCTGTGGGTTTAGATATTTCACTGGTGATGTTTTCCTGTAACATATAATTAGTAATATTTTTACTTTTGCGGTCGACCGCCTCGGCACACCGACCACCAGATACACTGTATAAATCAATTCAAAAAATGTGTTTGCTGCTACATGATTGACTAAATAGATGTTTGAACTCAACAACAAATATATTTTGAGTTCTCCAAGGATTCAAGGATTTTTTTTATCATCATACCAGCTGGCTTTTGCTTGTTTGTGACTATATATATATGTACATACAACATCAGACATCTCAGTCCAGAAATGTGCAGTACTAGGCACAGCCAAGATACTGGATACTCAAGCTCCCAGGCCTCTGGTAGACAGAGAGAGGACAATGCACCATCACCCATTTCTCAATAGGGGGGTTGTACAGGGACCGCCAACAGCCTCTTGGGGTAGAGCTGATCCACTGCAGGAGAGACGATCAGAGAGACTGTTAACAGCAAACGCTCTGATGGAAACTGGCAGAGAGGCACAAGTTTCTTCTTTTAGCCTTAAATGGTAAATATCCAATCATTTTTGACCACTCAAAGCTCACAAACGCTCACACATTTATACACTGATATGCAGCTTGGTGGGCAATTTAGGGTTAAGTGCCTTGCCCAGGGGCACATTGACATGTGGCAGGAGGAAGCTGGAATCGAATCTACAACCTTCCGATCGCAAGACGACGACTCTACCCATAGAGCCACAGTCGCCCTTAAGGCAGGTCTGTTGGACCATATCTGTAGACTCTCCATCAGACTGGGCAGCTTCATCAGGTGACCCAGCTTCACACAGCCTGCTTCCCTCATCCTAGACCTTAGCATACCAGATGAGAGGAGCTGTGACGAGAGGAAACTGTTCTCAAACAGAGGCTCTTCAAAAACCCACATTCCAGGTGTTGCCTCAGTCTCTCTCTCAAAGGTGAGAATCTTCCAAGCATTTATCACAGACTGGTAAAACGGGGTGAGACCAGTCAGATCCAGAGTTCCTTGTCTCATCAGAAAGAGATGTTTATCATATCCCATACGTCCTGCTTTCCTTAGCAGAAGA